ATTAAAGTATGCACACACACACACACACACACACACACACACACACACACCAGTGTAGGCGTACATACATACATACACACACACACCCCACCTACACACAGGTGTGCATATACACACACCCCACCTACACACCAGTGTAGGTGTACATACATACACACACACACCCCACCTACACACAGGTGTGCATACACACACACACACAACCTACATACAGGTGTGCATATACACACACACACAACCTACACACAGGTTGCATGCACACACACACACACACACACACACACACACACACACACACACACACACATCCCACCTACACACCAATGTACATACATACATACATACACACCCTGCCTACACACTGGTGTGCATACACACACAAATACACACACACCACCTACATACTGGCGCACACACACACACACACACACACACACACACACCAGTGTAGGGTACATACATACACACACACACCCCACTTACACACAGGTGTGCATATACACACACCCCACCTACACACCAGTGTAGGGTACATACATACACACACACACCCCACCTACACACAGGTGTGCATATACACACACACAACAAGAAACCTTGTCACAAAAAAAAAAAGAGGAGGAGGAAGAGGAAGGAAACTTTAGAACCCAGCAGATAATGTAAAAATGCCTTTGAGAGTGTGGTGCTTAGACAGCAGGACAAGTGCTCTGCTACAATCAAAGAAAAACCTTTGGCCAGGAGTGGTTGTGCTTAGAGGTGGAGGCAGGAGGATCAGGGGTTCATGAGCAGCCTCAGCTAAAAAGTGTTTGAGATTAGCCTGAGCTATGTGATGCCCGGTCTCAAAAATACAAAAAGAAAAAAAAATTGCCTGTGGCTTTATAGTGCCAAATACCAGGCAGTCAATACCAATTCGACAGTAAAACAAAAATTGGGTTTGTTCAAATTCTGATTTCACAATAAATAGTAAACTGCCTTTCTTGAGGCCATAATTAGTACTATCAGTGAGGAGCAAGGAGAAAATGGGCAGACACCAAGAAAAGGTCCATGGAAAAAAACTGACCATTTTCATCAGAAAATATCGTTACCAAGCTCAATCTGCTCAGACTGAGCTCAGACTAATTTAGGGACTTGGTAGTCATTTAAAGCAGCTAGACTGGAATATGCACTAGAGAAGGACTCAAGGAGGCCCACAGAGTAAACCTGCACACACCTCTCAGTAAAGGAAATTAGCCACCTAGGCCAGCAGTACTCACAGCACAGCCGGGAAGATACTAGAATGTGTCTGCTTTCTCCCAACCTCAGGGGAGAACAGATCACTACTAAAAATTACAAATGGGCCAGGCGTTGGTGGCACATGCCTTTAATCCCAGCACTTGGGAGGCAGAGGCAGGCTGATCTCTGTGAGTTTGAGGCCAGCCTGGTCTACAGAGCAAGTTCCAGGACAGGCTCCAAAACAATACAGAGAAACCCTGTCTCAAAAAGAAAGGAAGAAAGAAAGAAAGAAAGAAAGAAAGAAAGAAAGAAAGAAAGAAAGAAAGAAAGAAAAGAGATTACAAATGAGCAAGGCACAAGGAAAGGAGAGAAAGACAGGACACTGGCCATGCTACATTACCGTGTTATCAAATGCTGACAGCTGCACTCTAGGGTGATAGGTCTGGGAACATTCTTGCAGAACTAACATTTCCAGTTAGCAGAGAGTAAGAAGGTACCTGACTATACTGTCTGTCAGAGAAAACACTTTCAATCCGCACAAAATGAGAAGATCTAAGCAAGCTTCTAGTACCCAAATAAGGGGGTGAGATTTGAAGCCCTAAATGTTTTGCTCAATTGAGTTCACCTGAAGGCTTTTTTACGAAATGGAACACATTCATCTGTTCCTGCTGGCTTTCAGTCACTCGGCTGCAGTCGCACGAGAGTGCTCTCAGCCCACGTTGTGGAAAGTACACTGGACTAGCTTTGCCACTTACTCTGTAACAACCTTGGGAAAGTTAAACAATCCCTCTGAATTTCCCTTCATAAAAAGGATTTCAAAAGCTTGGGTTACTCTCCAAATGTCCTTCACATTTTAATTCACAATTTGATAGTCAAGATTTCAGAGCCTTTCGTTTTTACAAGATTATTCCTTTTTCCTTCTTTCAGACGCTCCCTCTGTCTATCACACTCCTCACCCAACACTGCGCAAATCCCTTGGTACACATTCATGAGTGTGACCAGAACTAAAAGTGAAAGCTATATAGTCTTCTTGCACCAAGCTTTCCTGGAATCAGAATACAGATTTCCTTTTCGATACGTTTTCCTCAGAGAGTGAAACTCAGTCCTTCCACTGCCCAGTCCATCGGCTCTGCCAAAGACAGCCCGAGCCCCAGGGCCATCAGTAAGTAATGACCTGTGCTCTTACCCTGGCCTCCGCGCTCTGAAGCCTGCGCACGGTCCAGGGAATCGGGCAGACTGTGGCTTCGGCCATGGCGCCGGGCCCTTTTCCATCGCCGACTGTACAGTACGCACAGAAATCCAAGGCCGGCGGCAGTACCAAGTAACAGTCCCAACCCGGCGCGGGAGCCGCCCAGGGCCCCCAGTCTAGACATGATGCACCTGCAGCCGGCGTGGGAAGAAAAAGAAAAAAACAAAGGGAGCGAACCGAGAGGGAGAGAGTCATCACCTGGTCCTCTACCCCGGGCAGAGCCCTTTGCCCACAGCCTCACCCCGTCTGCTCCCTCCCGAGCGTGCCGCAGCTTCCCGGCGCAGACAGACGCCCTGCCAGGGGACATCAGCTCCGAGCCAACGCGCCCCTGGCCGCCTCCCTGCACTGCACGAGGCAGCCCCGCAGCCCGTTGCACACCACCGGCCTCCCAGCACCCCCGAAGTCACTCT